GTGATCATGGCTCACTGCAGCCTTGACTTCCCGGGCTCAATCGATCCTGCCACCTCAGCCTCCTGAGTAGCTGGGACTATAGGGACGAATCACCATTCCTGGCTAGGGTTTTTTATAGAGACAAGTTCTTGCTGTGTTGCCTAGGGTGATCTCAAACTCCTGAGCTCAACGGATCTTCCTGCCCTCAATGGATCCTTGCAAAATGCTGGGATCATAGGCATAAGCCACCATACCCGGCTCTACTTTAAAAAATTTTTTTTGTAGATGGGATTTCCCTATGTTGCCCAAGCTATTCTGAAACTCATGGGCTCATGCCATCCTCCAGCCTTGGCCTCTCAAGAGTGCTGGGATTACAGGCATGAGCCATGGCACTCAGCTGAGAGTCCCTTTTTAGAATAAGTTCTGTTAAATGGGTTTATCAGTGTCTCTAGTTCACTCCCCAGAAACAAATTGTATTTAGGCCTGATCTTTTTTAAACTTTTCCCTCATTGCATAGTGGTGGATTATCAATTGCTCACTGCAAAATTTTGACACTTTACCTCTTTTGTGAAAGGATTGCATTTAGTGAGAAAGTTGTCTTATTTGGCTAGATATACATTATTGTCCTATGTGATACGCTATGGAAAAGAACCTTAAACACGTAATCACCTTTCTGGATAAGAATGACTCCACTAAAATAGAAGTCTATATTTAAAGTGAGTGAGTACAGAAATGTTTGTCATGGATGTGATCTTAAAGGGTTGTTTTTACCAAGTTTGTTCTGTTTCTTTACAGAGCTGGAACTAGTGGAAGTGAAATAGCACTCATGTTGTTGGGGAATTATTGTACGATGAAGGATATCTTTAAGCCAAAGTAGTGGATTACTTTCTAGTTTATTTCTTGGTGTTGGAGTCCAAAAGGTATATGGTAGTAATCAGGAGATCAGGATTATGAAACTGGGGCTGCCACTTGTGTGGCCTTATGTGTGATACTTGAATGCTCTAGGCCTTCATTTCAAAAGTGAGGGGGTTGGAATAGATACCTCTCAAACCCTATCTAGTGTTGACTGTGTAAGACTCCAATTCTGTGGCTAGACCCGGTGAGGTAGAGATAGCAGAGTGTATCAAGAACTGGAAGGGATTAAAGAGGCCTGTTACGTAAATTGCTGTCCCTCCTATGCTCCTAGCCTTGCCATTCATTTTGGTGAATTTCATTTGTAGATAAAGAAATGCAGATTAGTTATAATCACACTCTGTTTTAAATTTGATCTTATCTAAGTGCCATGGTGGTAGTTACTCCTTCCATCTCTACCTCTGCATGGAAAGCATTTTACTCCTTTAACTTTGAAGTATGAAGCTATAAATATACAATACTGTAAGAATGGTGTTTCTAGCAGGTGCGGTGGCTCATTCTGTAATCCTAGCTACTCAGGAGGCTGAGAAAGGAGGATCACTTGAGGCCAGGAGTTCGAGACCAGCTTGGGCAACATAGCAAGGCCATGCCTCTAAAAAACTGAAAAATAAAAAAAATTAGGCAGCCATGGTGATGCTAACCTGTCATGCCAGTTACTTGGGGGGCTAAGGTGGGAGGATTAGTGAGCTAAGATTGTACCACCACATTCCAGCCTTGGTGACAGAGTGAGACCCTGTCTCTTAAAAAAAAGGGTGGTGCTTAATCATTTTGAGATTGCCAGTTCCTTTCAAAATCTAATAGAGAAATGGACTCTCTGCCCCTTTCAAAGTCTAATAAATAGAGAAATGGACTCTGCCTAGAAAAATGCACACATAGAATTTAGAATACATTTTGGGCTACCAGGGTACCCCTTGCTAAGATCTGATGTATACCCAGAGCCTGTATTAAAATTTGTTACTTCACACCATACCATTTCCTGCCTCTCCTGATGAAGTACCGTTAATGACAATGGTGGTTGTAAGGATTAGCAACCATGAGAGAAAAACCTCTGGCTTTTTGTCTGTACATTGCCATATGTTCAATAAATAATACTCAGTATCATTATTACTTGAATTATTATTATAATATTATTATTACAACTATTCTACAACGTTATATTAACTTACGTTTTTGTAGTAATCTTTTCTGTGGTGACCACATATCTTTTCTATTTTTAAATTATGGGTAACTGAGTATTGGGAGAGAAGAAAATTTTTATAGGTTTCATTTTAGAGTCTTATTAGTGCTGTCACCTAACTTATGTTTGAAGTAAGTAAATATAGTTAAGATGTTAAATAGAGAATTCTAGAATTTGATTCTCCTATTGTACTTTGATTCTGTGGTGCTCGTTTTATGGTAAACACAAGAAAACCAAGTAAGGTAGAGTTAATCCTTCAAATATAATTAATGACACTGGGTTTGGAAACTACCAGGAAGCCATTATGTTTTGCAAAATACTCTGTGGACAAAACATATCGCTAGCAGCAGTGATCACAACCTTATGAATGTTACAATCTAATTAGAAATTAGAATATTAGAAATATTCATAAGATTTTTCTATAATTTTAGACATCTAATGACTGTTTCTTTGATATTATTAATAAAAACAGATCAACAGAACAGACTTTAGAAGTTAACGAGGGAAGATTGAATGATTTTAAAATTTAGGGCTTTAACATTAGCTTTTATTTTTGAGGAGCTTCTAATTGACACTTCTGCTTCATAGTAAGTGAAATAATTCTGGAAGATGGAAAATCTTAGAGTACCCTTCTAATCTGGTGTCTTTTGCTTTTATCCTTCCTTTCTAGTTTCTTACCATTTCCTAAGTTTAGTCCTTTGTTCTCTCCCGCCATAACCGTGGCAGTTGACTTCTGTTGATTGTTCTTCCATTTTTTGTTGGCATTAACTTTTCAAAACAAAGAGTACTTCTTGTCATAACTTTCTTTAAAAGCCTTCAATAGCTTCCAGTTGCCTACTTGTTTTTATAAACCCTATCTGGTGTTTGCCTGAGTATACCTACTCGGTCCTGTGATCTTTTTTTTACCTTTTTACTGTATCTTTTCTTCCCACTTAGGCAGTAGCCATACTGCATGTTACAGAATGCTAGACTTTGATATCTTTCTGTTTGTGCTTGAATTTAAAGTGGATTACATGTCAGATTTTTTAAGTTAGTTTGTTGCATTCCAAGAAACTTTATTTTTTCCCTTTTCATCCATGTCAATTAAAGTGTGACATGTTGCTAGTATCATTTTCTCAGGACATCAGAACAGTTAAAAAGAACAACAAAAAACCCTCACCTTTTGAACTTGGGGGATTGTGTAGGAGATTATGGGGAATATATTTAATAGTAAACTACTTTGCTCTTGGCGGTTTTTTTTTTTTTTTTTTTGAGACAGAGTCTCGCTCTGTCATCTAGGCTGCAGAGCAGTGGCGCGATCTCAGCTCACTGCAGCCTCCGCCTCCCAGGTCCACACCATTCTCCTGCCTCAGCCTCCTGAGTAGTTGGGACTACAGGCACCCGCCACCACGCCTGGCTAATTTTTTTGTATGTTTTGTAGAGACGGGCTTTCACCATGTTCGCCAGGATGGTCTCGATCTCCTGACCTTGTGATCCGCCCGCCTCGGCCTCCCAAAGTGCTGGGATTATCAGCATGAGCCACCGCGCCTGGCCGCTCTTGGCAGTTTTTAAATTGCCTTTCTAGTAATTTAATTCTTCTCTGTATGCCTGCTCTGAGGCAGTATTCCTAGGAGCAGGCCTCCATCAGTTATTTTTATTTGCATTTAATAAATTGTGACGAGATATAATAATCATGAACACACTTATCATATGATTAGAAAGAAAAATTCTAATTCCTAACCTGTCTTTTTAATATCTCTTTCAGCCTGCTCTTGAGGTTCACAGATGATACCTTTGATCCAGAACTTGCAGCAACAATAGGTAAGCCTGTGTTTAAAAATTCAGTAGAAATGTCTAATATTTTGTTGCTTTTGGGCTTTTTAATCTAAATTCTTCTACCTTCCTCTTACCACTCCACCACCTCCATGTCTGTTGACATTTCATTTGTCCTTCAAGATTTAACTTTGGTATCATTAAATCTCTGAGGCCTTTCTAGATCTTACCAAGAGAAAATAATTTCCTTATCTGTTGTCTCATGAGACTTTATTAAAACTACTGATATTATGGTTATCCGTACACATTTCTTTCCTGTATTATGGATTGTCTTTTATTTTGCAATATACAACAGTTATTTGAGTACTTACTGTATGCCATGCACTGTTACTAAGAGGTGGAGTTATAATATTGAGTAACATAAAATTAGTGTCTGTCTTCATGTACCTAACAGTAGAGTACATTAATTTTGTATGTTCAGCGTTTGCTACAGTGTTTGACATGTATTCTGATCTTTGCATATGTATTGATATTAGTTATTAAGGACTGTTAGGAGCAATGATACTTAAATGCCTTTTAAACATAAAATTTAGATGGCCTGAAAGTGGGTAGTCACACTAACTTATAAGAGTATATGAGAAGATAGAGGTAAGTATTTTGGTATCATGTGTTTAGACCATAGACAAGAATGTAAAGGAGTGAAAAGACCGCTTGGAATAGTTGAAAGGTAGCTGAGCTGAGTCAGAGCTAGGTAATAGTCTTGGCTTTGCCTTGAATTAGGTGTAATCTCGACTTACTAACGTCATCTGTAAATTGGGAGGTTTTGGGGAGACAATACTTTTTTTTCCCGAGCTTTGAAATTTGATGATCTGATGAGATTATAGTAAAGATGATCCTGGCAGTATTATTAGGGAAAACAAATAGTTTATCTTAACTGCCTTTATTTGTTTACATTTATTGTATGTCTATTTTTTTCAGACTCATATATTTGTAAAAATAGGAGAAATAATTCTTGTGTATTCTACTAAATTACTCCATCCAAATGTTAATATTTGTCACATTTGCTTTATCATTCTCTACATACACACACAGTATTCTTTTAAAAAACTGCAGTGGCTGTTTTTCTGATTTCTTTTTTAAAATGAATTATTTTGAGAGTAGGCTTGCAGACATGATGTCTTTAATGTCTACATACTTTGTATATTTCTTAAATCAATATGGATACAACTCTATTGTCTATGCACAGATTTTGTCAGTTGTCCCATTAATGTCCTATATAGCAAAAGAAAAATAATTTGTTTGGGGTTTGGGATCATACATTGAATTTAGTTATTTCTCTTCAGCCTCTCTTTTTTTTTTTTTTTTTTTGAGTTGGAGTCTCGCCCTGTTGCTCAGGCGGGAGTACAATGGTGCGATCTCAGCTCATTGTGACCTCTGCCTCCCAGGTTCAAGTGATTCTCCTGCCTCAGCCTCCCAAGTAGCTGGGATTACAGGCATGTGCCACTGCGCCCAGCTAATTTTTGCATTTTTAGTAGAGACTGGGTATCACCATGTTGGCCAGGCTGGTCTCGAACCCCTGACCTCAGGTGATTCGCCTGCCTCGGCCTCCCAGAGTGCTGGGATTATAGGCATGAGGCACTGCGCCTGGCCACTCTTCAGTTTCTTTTAATCTGAACGGTTCTTCAGTCTTTGTCTTTCCAGGGCCTTGACATTTTTGAAGAGTAAATAATTATTTTGTAGAATGCCCTTTAATTTACATATATCCAGAGTGTCCTTATGGTTGGATTCAGGTTATGCACTTTTGGCAGGAATTCCACAGAAGTGTTTCTCAAGCACAGTGTCGGGAGGCACATGGTGTCTGTCTGTCCCATTTACTGGTGGTGGGACTTTGGTTACTATTGGGTGATATATGCCAACTTTTTCCTCTGTGAAGTTATTCTTTTTCCCCTTGTAATGAATATATTTCTTTTGGAGAGATACATTGAAACTATATTAGATGTACTCCTTTTCATCGTATTTTTTGTCCTCTTATTTTAGCATCCATTGATACTTCTTGCCTGTGACAAGCAAAAAGGACAATGTATGATCCTGCCATTCTAGCTGTGGTGGTTATCAAATGATGATATTTTCAAATGCGATCACTCTGTCTACTTACCTTATTTGGAATTCTCTAAGGAAGAGGTCTTTTGTTTTATTTTTAAATTTGAGACAGTCGTACCCTGTCACTCAGGTTGAAGGTGCAGTGGCATCATCTAGGCTCACTGCAGCCTCCACCTCCCTGGTTCAAACAGTTCTCCCACCTCAGCCTCCAGGGTGGCTGGGACTACAGACATGTGCTACCACTAATTTTTGTATTTTCAGTACAGGTGGGGTTTCACCATGCTGGCCAGGCTGGTCTCGAACTCCTGGCTTCAAGTCATCTGCGCACCCCGACGTCCCAGAGTGCTGGGATTACAGGCGTGAGTCACTGCGCCCAGCCAAGAGCTCCTTTTTGTTTTTTCTTTTTTTGCGAATTCAGATTTTGTATATTCAGGAGTTTTATTTAAACTTTGAATCTGAAAGAAACTTTAGGAGGAACTCATAGATTTGTGGGAAGAAGCAAATCTACATTATTTTCTCTCTTCTAAAATCACAATCCATGTATTTTGATCTTTTACTGAATTTTAACATATTGTTTCGTCACTAACATAAAGTGTTTCAATAGTGTTTGTAACTCACACACAAATACTGGAAATAAAAGTTATTTACCTGAGTCCATTTTTGTGGCAGGCAGTTCACTTTACATCGCTTTCCAGACAACTGGATTTTGAGGCAACGTCTATGACAGCGATGCCTTTGTTTTCACCTGGCGTGTGTTCTCATCAGACTGCTTGCAGTCACATCGTGCTTCAGGTAAAAAGCTTTTATGAGTTTTTAAATCTCTTTGTGAAAAATATTTTATTGTGGTAAAATATGTATGACATAAAATATGCTATTATAACAACTCTTAAATGTATAATTTGGTGGCATTAATTACATCCATACTGTCATGCAGCCATCACAACTGTCTGTTCCCAAGTATTTTTCATCACCCCAAATAGGAACTCTGTTATCATTCTGCAGTAACTCCCCATCACCACCAGCCCCACATTGGCAGTTGACGTTTAATCTACTTTGTCTCTGTGAACTTTCCTATTCTAAAGATTTCATATAAGTGGAACTATATGTTTGTCTTTTTGTGACTGGCTCATTTCACTAGGCATAATGTTTTCAAGGTTCATCCTGGTAGCATGTATCAGAACTTCATTCCTTTTTATGGCTGAATAATACTGAGTCCTCCAACTCTGTTCTTCTTTTTCAAGATTATTTTGGTCATCTGAGACTCCTTGCAATTCCATTTGAATTTAGGGATTGGCTTCTCTATTTCTAGGAGGAGGAATGATTCTCAGAATTTTGATGGGATTGTGTTGAATCTGTAGATTGTTTTGAATAGGACTGGTATTTTAGCAATATTGAGTCTGCTAACCCAGGAACTAAGGATCTTTCCATTTACCTACGTCTTTTTACGTTTCTTTTACCAATGTTTGGTAGTATTCAGCATGTAGGTCTTTCACTTCCTTAGTTAAATTTATTCCTAAGCATTTTATTTGTTTAGCACTATTTAAATGGAATTGCCTTCTTCATTTCCTTTTTAGATTGTTCATTGCACATGTACAGAAAAGCAACTAATTTTTGTGTGTTGGTCTTGTATCCTGAAGCTGTGCTGAATTTATTAACTCTAGTAGTTTCCTTCTGGATTCACATGGATGTACTTCCAGCTACTCGGGAGACTGGGGCAGAAGGATCCCTTGATCCAAGGAGTTTGAGGCCAGCCTGGAAAACACAGCAAGACACCTACAGGTATGTGCCACCACATCTGGCTAATTTTTGTATTTTTAGTAGAGATGGGATTTCACCAGTTTGCCCTAGCTGGTCTCGAACTCCTGGGCTCAGGCACTCACTCTACCTGCCTGAGCCTGCCAAAGTGCTGGAATTACAGGCATGAGCCACTGTGCCCAGCCTAAAACTGTGATATCTTGTTCTCATTAATAGCTGTAGAAATTATAACTTTTGGCTGGGTGTGGTGGCTCACTCCTATAATCCTAGCACTTTGGGAGGTCGAGACGGGCAGATCACCTGAGGTCAGGAGTTTGAAACCAGCCTGGCCAACATGGTGAAACCTGTCTCTGCTAAAAATACAAAAAACCAGGTGTGGTGGTACACATCTGTATTCCCAGCTACTCAGGAGGCTGAGGTGTGAGAATCACTTGAACCTGGAACGTGGAGGTTGCAGTGAGCTGAGATTGCACCACTGCACTCCAGCCTGGGCAACAGAGCAAGACTCTGTCTCAAAAAGAAAAGAAAAAGAAAGAAAAGAAAAGAAAAAAAATTATAACTTTTTGTAAATTTTTATTAGGCTGGTGTCTTTTACTATTTCAGTTGCATAAATATCATTTGAGGTGGGCCTGGTCTTTGAAGGCTCTTTCCAGCAGGTGTCTCTTTCACCAGGCTTAATTATAAGTCTTTATTTTTTTTTTACGGTAAAAGAAAGTCTATAATATATCAACTGTGCAAGGGAAGACAACAGTAAACTTACAAGTCTTTTTCCAGCTATCGAAATTAGTAATTCAACAGGACAAAATAAAGACATGTTTAGACAAGAGCTTTATCTCTCTGTGCTGCCTCCTGGTTAATTTCCTTGGTTTTGTCTTTCAGTGTATTAATTCTTTCCAGCTATATTCAGTCTGCTGCTCAGTATGACCAACAAGCCTTAGATTCTCTGTGTGTGTAATTTTACTTCTAGAAGTTCTATTTGGTTCTATTGCAAATCTATTCCTTGATTTCTACTTTATACTTTTATGGCCTTAATTTGTTTAATTACGCTTATTATATTCTTGTTCAGATAGATCAAATCTGCTTGCTCACATTTTCTCTTCTCTCTCATTGATCATATGTTTTATTATTTGGGATTATGAGCTCATCTTGAGTGAGAATCTGCAATGATTTGATTTAGGCATTTATCTTCCAGCTCTGTTCTGTATTTGCTTCTTCCAGAAGTGCAGGAATCACATGAACCTGTCCATCCACAGATGAAGTGGTAAATAAACTGCCATGTTAGATACATGACGGTGTACTCTTCAGCCATAAAGCTTCGGGAAACCCTGTCATCAGCAACCACGTGGAGGAACCTGTCCATCCACAGATGAAGGGATCAGGAAACTCTGGTATATATACTGAAGGGAAATGCTTTTTGGCTACCAAAATAATGAAATTATGTCGTTTGGAGCAACACAGACGAACCTGTCCATCCACAAATGAAGACATCAAGAAACTCTAGTGTGTACACAAGGCAAAACACTTCAGCCATCAAAATCATGACATATGTCACGTGGAGCAACCCAGTTGACCCGCCAAGGCTGCCTCTTCCTCCACAGGCGGATGGACGCTGTGGCTGCTGCTCCTTCCTGGGCCGTGCCCTGACGCTGCCAACACCACTGCTCCTCTATTTATAAGTCTTAATAGGGTTGCTGACCCAGCTATAGCTGAACAGCTGACATGTACCTCATGCTAAGCCAGGTGCTTCATATGTTTCTAACTTGAAAAATGCTGAGCTACTTACCTTAACACCATTAACTTTTACTTAAAAGTTTGTTTTTCTTTTTTAATCCCAGCAAACTCCAAACAAGTTTTAGGAGGCTCCTCAAAGCCAGCAAAGACTTTAACTGAAAGTAGAATTTCAAAGTACTGTAATTGGATTAGAAACCAAACCCCAAAATTAAATGTGAAGATTAGTGTCCGTACCGAACCGGCCCATCTGGTGGACACAGGATTTGTGTTATCGACCACAGTGTTACCCAGGATTCATGATTTCTGGAGTTTGTCAGTGTTAAGAAAATTGGATTGAGTACCAAATACAGCAGAGCAAACCCAGATTTGAGGCAAGGACCCTATAAAATAGTCATGCAGTACTTTTGTTAGGGTTCTGGGCGCAAATCTTCTTCATCCCTCCCACCTTCTCCTGGCCTGCCTGTAAACCCAAACCACCAGGTACCTCAATTTTCTTCAAGGTCAGGCTGTTCTTAATGTTGCTAAATTGATCAAGGAAATGGGTGAGCCACTGCTTGCTCTGCACATAGTCCTCAGGGTGCTCAGGGTTCAGGCAGTACAGCAGCTGCATGGTTTTGGCCCGAAGGAGTAACTGGTCCATTCCTAGGCTGTCCCCAAAGATGTGTCCTCTGAAGAAGCTGGTCAGGTAGAAGGGGTGTCCACCATGGTTGTAGATGGGGAAGGAGATGCTGCTCAGGTCGAGCATTTTGTTCACCTGCCAGGCATACAGGAGCGGGTTGGGGGCACCACGCAGAGCATCTTGTACCTGGCCCACACCTACTGGTACTGGATCTGGCTTACGTTTCCCTGCGCCACACACAGATCCTGCACTGTACTGTCCAGTCAACTGACTTCAGCAAAGATGTCTGGGTCCAGCAGTGAGTTACTGTGGAAGGCCACCAGAGTGGAGGTGATATCAGCCCCGGTGCTCTTCCTGGAGGCGGAGAAGTGGTTGGAGTCCTCTGTGGTGAAATGGCCCTGCATCAAAGTGGGAGACATTCAGAATCAAGGTGAAATTGGCCTCAGTGCTGGTCCTGGAGGCGGAGAAGCGGTCAGTGTCCTTGGTGGTGAAGTGGCCCTGCATGAAACATCACTCCCCCTTGGCCAGTGAAAGAATAAAATAAAGCTGGCCACTTGCATTTCCCTTTCAGTTTATAGAATACATGTTTTGGAAATAGTGTCTTCTAGATCTGTCTTTTTCTTTTCTGATTTAACTTATTAGTAAAGCTAAGTTTTGTCTCTTCATAGTGTTGCTTTTGTTTCAAAAGCTTCTATGAGATTTGTTTACTGTGTGTGGCTATATGGCAGACAATTTGTTCAAGTGGCCTGCCTCCTCTTTCTCACATTGACCCCTTCAGGAGGAGTTTTTCAAGGGTAATGAGTCTTCTCTCTGAGATAAGAATAGTAGCCAGAATTAAGAAGGTAAAGTGCATTGTGGAATTAAATCCTGATTCCAGTGGAAACTTAGTTTATGGCCTTAGACAAATGTTTACACTTCTGATCCTCAGTTTTCTCTCAAAGAACTTCTGCTCATATCCAATTCCTATTAAGTGGAAGTACTCTAACCTGGTATTACTAATATTCGGTTAGATTTTTTTCCTAATTTTAGGCGTTAGAATATATCCTAATGTTACCAGTTCTTCACTGTTACTAAAGTGCATGTTAGATTTCTTCAATGATTTTTTTTAATTGGCATGGTTGATACAAAGCATCCTTCTATCCAAATACTGTGCTCAGTCGCCTAAGTGGTGGTTTAGAACCATACTATCTCTCTCTGGAAAGAATGCTGGGGCTCCTGACTACACACTTTGACTAGAGGGGAAAATACTCCTCTTGTATTTATGATGGTTTTTCTTTCTACTTGATTAAGAAGAAAGTACAAAAAGGTGCTTATTGAAGCATTGTCAATTTGGGAACAAGATTCTCAGGAATGAAAAATTTGTGACTGTTCTCAGCATGAAAGGGAGAGAGAAGATTACCTGATCATTACGTGCTTATTTGAAAGTCACTTTCCTCCCATGTCTCAGCATCTCACTTTTTAGAATGCACACTGAATGCCTGGGATCTCTTTGTTTTAGAAGAGACAAAGTTGCATTGTTAAAGGAATAATATTTCCAGGGAAAAGGCTCAGTGCTCAACGGTTACTCTATAAAGAGATTTGAAAAGAAAGTCAAGGGAAGGTAAGGAAGGCAACATGGCTACCAATCTCGTGGGTTCTACTAGCGTTATTTCATGAAAAATGTCACCTTTTTATAGGAGAGAATAAATCTGAGAATCAACTGGCATCTAAACTCCATTTCTTGTTTTGTCACTGCTTCCCTGATTGACTATGGAAAATACATTTAGTCTTTTGATACCTTGGTTTCAACAACTATAACTTGACTTAAGAACTTTTATGCATGGACTTTGTAATAGTTATCTATTTCTGCCTACAAATTACTTCAAAACTTAAATTGTTGTGTGAAACAACAAACACTATCTCACAGTTTCTGTGGGTCAGGAATCCAGACATGGCTTATTGGGTAACCGCCTCAAAGTCTTACTAGGCTGTAGTACAGTTATTGGCTGGAGCTGCTGTTTCATCTGAAGGTTCAATTGAGGGAGGATCCACTTCTGAGCTCACTCACATGGTTGCTGGAGCAATTCAGTTCCTCCCAGCTATTGGATTAAGGGTCTCGGTTCCCTACTGAGTGTTGGTCAGTGAATTTCCCTCAGTTCTTTGCCATATGGGGGTCCATAGAACAGCTCACTACATGGCAACTGGCTTCTATCAAAGTGAACAATAAAGAAGTAAGCAAGAGAGGTTTGCAAGACAGAAGCTACTACGTCTTTATAATCTAATCTTCGAAATAGCGTCACATCCCTTCTGCCATATTCTGTTCATTAGAAGCAAATCTGTGGGTCTAGCCATACTCCATTGCAGGGATCACACAAGGGTGTGAATGCAGGCATGGATTGTTGGGGCTCATCTTAGAGGTTGTCTCCCGTAGAGTTAGCTACCAATCTGAGGGGCCACAGGGAACCATGCATCTGGGCCAGAACACAGGGATTTCATCCCTTAAGCAGGACAACATTCATTCAAACACACACACACACACACACACACACATATATATATGTTTAGATGTTTCTCTCTAATCAAAGAGAGAAGCAAGGCCTGTCCCTGACGAGCTCCCTTTCTCAGATCCACCCTGAACTGCCTAAGTTAACTCCATGGACCTTGACTAGGTGAACTGCAGAGTCCACGCCTAGAGTTGGGTCCTGGGTTTAATCCTGGTTCTGTCTTAGCCCTATGACCTTAGGCCACTTCTCTTCGACTTGGTTTTCTTTGCAGCAGAAAGTGTCAGGTTAGATCCCAACAGTGGTTCTCAAATTGGAGTGCCTGTGAAAACCACCTGGGGTCATTAAAAAAATTCCTCATGCCTGGCACACTCCTGACAAATCCGAAGATCTGAGGGTGAGATTGAGGCAACAGGACTTCTTACAGCTCCCCAAGTGATTTCATTGTTCAGCCAAGGTTGATAACTACTCATTTAGAGGATCGGTAATCCTAACTCTGGTACATGAGAATCATCTGAGGAGCTTTAAAAACAAATACAGAAGCCAGAGTCTTAGGACCATTAAAATAGAAATCCTTGGGGACTGGTCGCAGACATGGTGTCTTTCAAAGCTCCCCATATGATTCTAATGTGTAGCCAGATTTGTGGACCCTCAGGTTTAATGATCAAAAATCCTCCTTGATCTAAGGTTCTAAGCTTGTATGAATGCACTTGTAGAGCTGTAAGCACGTGTACCACCTTCCAGTGCTCTCTGACTCTGAAGAAGGAGATGATTCCCACCCCCAACATCCATCTTCTCTGGGTTTACAATCCGTAAAAAGGGCACCCTAGACTTGACCTCAGTCTCATTGTGACACACCACGCCAGCGTTCTTAATCTTTTTGGTTACAGAGACCCTTTTAGCAACTTCATGAAAACTGTAAGTCATCTCATAAGGAGGATCTTACATGCACATCAAATTGAGCATGCAATTTTCATGGACCCCTAAACTCCTGATACAAAGTTAATTATATTTCACTATAATATAAAAAAAAACCTTATATAACCCAGAAAAGCAGAATTTGCAACATAGTAGAAATAGACCAGAGCGAGAGTTCTAATCCTGGTTCCACAACTCACCAGTCAACATTTAGGAGTCACTGAATCACTTGATGCCTCAGTTTACTCATATGCCCAATTAAGAATTATACAGTCATGTACCATATAATGTTTTGGTCAACTACAGATCACATATGATGATGATGGTTTCATAAGATAATACTGTGTTTTTACTGTGCCTTTGTTACCATATTTAGATATACAAATACATTGTGTTACTATTGCCTGTGGTATTCTGTATAATAACCTGCTGTATGGATCTATAGCCTAAGAGCAATAGGCTATACCATACAGCTAGGCGTGTCGCAGGCTCTACCACGTTGGTTTGTGTAAGTACACTCTGTGATGTTTGCACACGATGAAATCGCCTATGACACACTGCTCAGAATGTGTCTCCATCATTAAGTGATACATGACTATCTACTCTATCTTGCCTATTCCAGAAACAAAGTGAAATTAATCATATAAAATTGGTTTGATCAATTTATAAGCATTACATTGTCGTTGAAAATCGGAGAACTAGACCAGGAGGTCCTGGTGTGGCCCTGGAGTAGGTGAAACTGTTTGTGCATGTGCCTTCCTTACCTTCCATTCTCATAAAGAATCGCCACCTTCCCCACATACACCCTGGCCAAACTGTCCTTGGGACTGCAGCACCAAGGTGTGTTTTTGTTTGTTAACTTAGTCTGAGTGCCTGTGTTGACCAAGAGGCTTTGCGAATAAAGGTGCATGAAAGTCTTAGAACCTGGATGAGCCTGGGGAGAAGAGATGGCACGCTGTGTCCTTGAATTTGGAGTGTGATTTGCACTCTGCCCTTGCTCCCATGAACTCACTATGCACCAGTTCCGGTCCTTGGTGGGGAAAGGCTGAAACTGGAACCAGGGGTCTGAAAAGCAATCTCCTAGACTTCACAGTAGCTGCCAGATTGGCCACACGGTTGGCAGAAACCATCCTACTGGTT